AAGCCTCTTCGCGTAGGACACGATCACGGTCCGAGGCGTCAAACGCGGCCAAACGTGATTTTACACGGCCAAGCTCGGTCTTGGATAGGGCAGGAATCCCTAGAGGCGACGACGTGAAGCGAATGGGAATAGTCTCCACATTGGTCTGGGGTGAAGTCTTCTTGTTTTCTTTAGCAGAGGTGGTGGAAGTAGCGTCGCTGGCTGAGGTTGTCGAGGCTTGGGGCTCCTCAGGCTCCAGAGTGATCGACTCGCTAGGCTCTCCATCTTCGTTAAGAGGAGCTTGCTCCTTCTTAGAACCCAGACCGAAGAAGCCTTTGACATCTTCAACTACACTTCCCGTCTTAGTGTTTTCCACTTCGCAACTCACGGCGCCACTGACAACCTCGGGAAGACCATCAACAGGGCTCAACCGAATAGAGAACTTGGTGGTGATGTTTGCAGGCGAGCAGCCAAAGCTCTCCTTTAATTTGGTGACAGATGCCGTAAGATTTTGCGTCTGCACACCCAAGACTGGTGACTCAACCACATTGCCCTCCAAGGGAATTTGCTGGTAGAAACTGAACTCAAAATCTTCAAGGTTCTTCACCGTGACTTGCTTCTCAGGGCCAACTTGGGAAGTGGGAGTGAACAGCTTCTGCTGTCTCTCCCGAGATTCAGAAGGCCACTTCAGCAGGACGGGATAACCAGAGACGTCGTGGGCCCGGATATCCTTGACGCGGAAGCTAGGGCTGAGGGCAGCCCCCTTAAAGGCAGCACCGAAAACAGCAGCCTCGTCTGCGTTAACGCTGGTTCTAAGTTTGTTGGACGCTCCGCAAACCCGCTCCAGCTCCTTCTGGACAAATGGGGTACGGATAGCTCCACCGTGCAAGATGACAGAATCAATATCGTTCAACTGTAACCCAGCAGCCGCTAGAGCTTGCTCGAGAGGCTGTCCCACCCGGGCAATATGCTGTTCTGCAAGCCGCTCAAATGTAGAGCGGGTGATGCGGTACTTGAAATTGAAGTCTTCCTCATAGAGGTTTTCGAAAGAGGCTCCAGTTTCAGTGTTGGCGCTCAGAACCTGGCGAACTTTCTCAGCGTCCTTCCAAAGCCGCGCCATGGTCTTGCCATGAGAAGCGATATCGGATGGTGCGACACGATCTTTCAATTTCTTGTCCTGGACCAAGTTCGTGATCATGTCCCCGACCACGAGATCATTCAGAGAATCTCCACCGAGAGTCTTATCCCAGCCTGTTCCTAGAACATGGACCTCCTGAATTGTCTTATTGAACTTTCCAACATCCTTCACCGAGCGACTTTGGAAACGAAGGACGGTGGCGGTTGTGGAACCCGCACCCATATCGTAGACGACATGGTACTCGGGCTTCTGTCCGGTGGAAACACTGGGGAACTGACGACTGGTCGCATAATTCAATCCAACAGCGAGACCTTCACTAATAAATGCGTCGACATTCAGACCCGCTAATTCCGCCGCCAGCTCTAGACTTCTCTTCTCCTCAGACGTGTAAAAGGAGGGATACGTGATCACCACATCTCTGATATCTGAGCCTTTCCCGGCAAGATTGTCGGCGTTGACTTTGACCTGCTTCAACTGCATCGCCAAAAGCTCCTCAACAAGGAAGATATCCTTCCTTTCTTCCTCGCCAAGCCTATTGCTTCGAAATCCGACGGTTCCACGCCCAGCAGCGTTTTCTAGCTTCAGCGCGGGATACCTGCTAAGGAATGTTTGAACCGCTTCGTTCCCATCATTGTTGAAGGGAACCCCCAGCAGTGTTTTCAAATTTGCGTAGACATCGTCCGGATACCGTGCAGCGAGTGCCAGCGCGTCACCGCCGTAGAATCTCTCAGGGAACGGCGCATTATCTCTGGTGGGTTTGAATGCAACAGCAGCAGACTCCTTACGTTTCGAGTCTTTTGTTAGGACGATCTCCAATGGAATTCCCGGTTTCACAAGCACCGCTTTGAGATATTCTGTGCCCACATCAATACCGATCACTGCGGATCCAGCAGCAGCAGCGGGTGCGGGAAAGGCAAGGAAGAACAGCAAGAAAGGCACTATCAAGACGGAAAGAACCGGAGAGGATGTAAATAATCGCGGTGCAGCATGTCGTAGTTTGGGAGCCATTGTCTATATATCTGTTGTATTTAAATGGTCAATCACCCCACCTTTCAGTTGCTTGCATATGGAGCTCTTTACTTTGGAGATGTGAGTAGTTTCTCAAGTACAAACAAAACTATCTGACAGGTCTAGACGAATTTCTAGAATATGTGCGAATGGGTTTGGACCAAATGCCGAAATGCACTCAAAAGTGCCGGTAGAGGCAAACTTGTGGTAATCTATAAGAACGAGTCAGCAAGGGAAGAGAGTCTGCTGGATTGGAAGTAGGGAAAGCGCCATACATGAATTTAAGTTGGTCAAGCCATCCAGAACGCGATCACGCACTGAACTACTGGCCACCTGGCAGTAAGCATGAGTAATAAGTTGTGATGCCGAAGTATCAAAGGGAAACTTTTGGAGAGGACACGTTTGGGGATCTAGGGATGCAAACATCCCCGAACTCGGTCGTGTTTGCACCTGTGGTCCCTGCAGATCACGGGCCCATAAGGATGACTTTACTTATAACCAGTAGGAGTATATCGTAGTAGAACTCTCTTTACATATTATCGAGGTGTATTTTTAGCATTTTAGCACAAATGAAATGTTCCATATGCTTTATGTTCAAGCCACTATTCGTCATCAAAATCCGAATCACTCATCCATCCGGTCTCGTAGGATTCTCGAATCTCCCCCAATCCATTGACGAGTGTTTCACGTTCATCAACGCCAATAATTCGCCCAGCAACTGCCTCCAACACCTTGATTCTTTCCGCCGTCCGGGAGGATGCAGTAAGGGCTGCGAGAACATTTATCTTGTTTTGCTTGGCTCCTGGGAACATATGACTGGGGTAGCTGTCAAGAATGGGGAATGCCAGGGGCGCGTGGAAGCTGTTTCATGTTAGACCGAGGTTATCAATCACGTATAAACTGCTACGCTGGCTCTCACCTTTGGAACATCGGGGCCGAATCGTAGTAACGCTGCTTCCGAGAGAGGCCAAGATCCTCTTGAGGAACGGACTCATCGTCCTGGTCAGGGTTGGTTCCACGCCAAACCTGAATCTGGTTGAATATATGTGAGTTGCTACTTCCATGCCTATCATAGGTAAAGTCCAACTCAAATTCTGCCTGAGATTTCACTACTCCCTGTTCCGAGGCACTTGTTTCAGCCACAGGCCCTTTAACAGGTAGGTGCTGTTCGTTGGTTCCATTGTCCGCGGCGACGGAGGATTGCAACTCAAAAATCTTGTGAGTGCTGTCATCACCGGCTAAAGAGGACTCGAAGTCATGGAATTGCCGAAGACGGGTTGGGAGTGTAACACTTTCCATAGCTGAGCTGATAAGTGCAGTGGTATGCCATTCCGACTGCGGGTCGAAATACACTTTGCTTGGGGTGTGGCTGGGCGGATCAATAATTGGAGTATACAGTGACGATTGGGGAGAGATGCTGTATATGGTCCGGGCTTTGTTCATATCCCGTTTAAGTTGAGTTTGCTGAGATAAGGAGCAACATTAGGCATATGGCAGAGATAAGAGAAGAATAACTCACACGAGGCACCTTTGATCCACCTTCAATTGCCCAGACCCAGACAGACTTTTTACCGAATTCATCTCGCAGCCTGTCGACATATCTAGCAGAGAAACCACCCCAAGCATCATCAGAACTTGTGAACAACTGAATTGCACGTAATTGATCACATTCCTCCGCAAATGGTCTCACATCTCTATCAAGAAGATCATGCTCTTTGTCAAGGTCACTAAACAAGTCTTCTCCGACATTCCAATCTTCGAAAGGCATGATCTTGCTGTGCAGCTCATAATCATTCAACTGAACGATCGAGCGGGGGTGATAAAAGAGGCGATTATAGTCAGACCAGTACCGAACTGTTTCGGTTGTAAGTTTGGGAGCAGGGAGCCCTGCATCTAGTTTCTTCTGGTAGTCACTTTGAGAGATCGGTGTCTGTTGTTGTATGACTTCTTTCCCATCCCACAAGCCTTGGCCGAGGTTTGCATCCTCTGTCAATTCATATAGTGCGTTATACTTTCGAAGAGTACCAAAAGCACCTTTTAAATCATATATTACTGTCCTAGGGGTGAAGGTTTCTGTCCCGTCTGCGCCCACACCAGGACGAAAATGAACGTCATGGTCCACAAGAGATTCCTCTTCCCCATTGTAGGTAAAATAGGACTCCTGTTATTACCGAGCCATTAGAGCAGTGCTGGATGGAATGCATATAGGCCATTAATGTGAATGACATATACCTGGAGGTTCCAAAAATGAGTTGCCAAGTAATTGGCCCGCTGCCCTAGTTGAAGGGTAATGATTTCATGCATGCTTAACCAGAAACTTTAGTGCGCACAGTAACATTATTAGCACACACTTTGAACAGATAACTTGATGGCCATAAAGTACATACATGTTGAAGATCCGGTAGAAGCTGGTATTGTATTGATAGATATGAGAACTACTCCAAGTGCGAGTATATCTATCTCCGAAGAAGAAACCCTATACAGATTTAAAAGGAAGTACTGCTAGTAGTATTGCAAGTGATAGAGGCATCAAGAAATGCACGGACCAGGTGGGATCCTCGCTTCCAATTATGGTTTAACGTCACCACATTCCACATGATATCTCTAGACCACGTTCGGCAAAGACTGGTAGTCAAGGGCAACAGTCACATGACATGCCGTGGATGGGTAATAAACAAGCTAAGAGGCGTTGTTGTGGGTGCGTCACCGATAGGGATCAACCGAACACCTCCACAACGATCGATTAACGACGGGACTTGTTTTTCATTAATACTCCTTCTCCCACGGCAGACTGTCATGCCCAACTGGGGAATATCTTTCAGTCTACTAATCGCATAATATATAGTACTGGAGCATGGATTCCCCATCAAGCGTCATGTCTAGCCCCTCAAAGGTATTCAATAATCCTCTGTCAAGCCCAACGAAAGCGCTGAACCCTCTTTCACCGGAGCGCCTGAATCAGCAGGCGTTTCCCAACTCACCAACGTTACCTAATGACGTACGCAATATGCAACGGAAGCCTAGAGGTTTATCGGATGTCCAAGCCAAGGTTGCGTATTTGAATAATTTATCACGAGGGAACAGTCCAGCAGCGCCGTCAACACAGTCATCTGCCGGAAACTCGGCGGCGCTTCAACGTGCCATTCTAGGCCGTGAGGAGGCGGAGTCCGCACTGGCCAATGTTTCTGCTCAACTCTCAGAAGCCCAGTCTCGTGAGCGTCGCATCAGTGAGAGACTCGAATCGTTGCTTGAAGAACTACAAACTGCAAAGACACGACAAGCCCACGAAAGAGCAGTATTTGAGAAGGAAATACGGAAAGCAAGAAAAGAGGCTTTTCGTGCAGGATCTGTATTGGTAAAAGCTCAGGAAGAATTAAAGCAGGCGAGATCTGAGGCCAAAGTATTAAAGGATGAGCTCCAGTCAGAGCGAGAAGCGAAAGAAAAGGCGAAGCAGGAGGCGTTCGAGCGCGCGTACACACTCGCGGGTCTGATGGAGGAAATGGAGGTATTGAAAGGACGCTTGCGAACGGCAGAAGCGAACAGCCATGTGGATACTCTAGAAGCACGTGCCCAGGAGATGCAGAAAGGAGATGTTGGAAGACTATCACTAGCAGAAGGCGACCTTGCATTCCTCCAAACGCCTACGCCTCGAAGACCGAAACGATCGGCAGAAGAATCCGATGGCACGCCATTGCAAAGCCGTTTCAACCATTCCGTTGCCCAAGACACTCCTCCAAAGAGGGCAAGGGTCTCCGATGTTACACCTCGGAACGAAATCCAGAATTTGGATTCGCCGGAAGCGAAAGGCGACGATATTCACGAATTACAAATAAAGTTAGAATCTGAACGACAGCTGAGGGTCAACGCGGAAGATATGATAGAGTTCCTGAAAGTTGAATGCATGTTCAAACGATGCACTTGTCGTATCGAAGAAGAGCGAGAAAAGAGCCATATTCAAGATACGACACAACATGCAACCAAGAAACCCGCTGGCCCCGGCGAACACATCGACAAAGATGAACATGCAGGCACCAAACCGCGTGTTGAAAATTTCCCACTTTCTCCCGGTAAAAGTTCTGGTCATTCTATCGAGTCCGCTGAAGAGCCTGAAACAGAAGATCAGCCACAGACAGAGGAAACTACTATAACATTCTCACCTGCCACTGGAACTTTTCATACAATTCCATCTCCTGTCCGAAGGTCACCAACGAAGAAGCTGGAGCATGATATTGTAGAGCTTCCTCAGCTTATCACTGAGAACCAGTCGACCCCCCAACCACAAGTCACTAGCCCACTTGCGAAGTACGACGTACCATGGGACGAGACACCTTTTGAAACAGTCCATGAGATCCAAGCCCGTGCTCCGCTCTCCCCCTCTAAGGTCCGTCCTTCACCCGCTACTAGTGACGTGCCATGGGACTCTGAAGTACCTGAGCAACATCGGTTAGAAGGCAATGTTGATGGGCATGATAGCATCAGGAGAATACCATTGCGGAATGAAAGCGTGGAACCAGACCACTTGCTCGGCGTCCCGGGAACACCTATTGACCGAGAGGAAGCCTGGCACAGATCCGGGCAAGGCGGGGCCGAACCAACAATATGAAGAGATCTGTCAGTGCCAACGAAAGTACGTTACGCGCTGGCGGCATGGGTGTGACTCCCGTTAGAGCGGCGCGTCGGATTCCTGCCGTTCAGAATCCAGATGGAAGGTACAGTGAGATACGAAGTCGAAGGGACATGAGTGCGCCAGTCAGGATGTTCCACCGGTAACACTTATCTCACATTACATAGCCTGATAGATGTTTACGACGATTTGGACAGAAGCATTTATTAACTCTGGATAACTTATGATACCCTGGTGCTCCAAGGGGAATGGCGTTCTGGGAGGTTTTATTTATTTTTTTTCCGATAGCAATTTAACGGAGCTCTTAATCACCACTCAGTGTCTTTTGGGTATTCTGGCTCGCCTTTACGATAATTTCGTCTACAACTCTTCTGCCCGATGGGTTTCGGCATATCCTTTTTGTGACACATGATGATGGGAAGTTTAAAACAAGGAATCTCGACTTCCTTTTATACTTTCTTTTTTGCACCATGCACAGGCATTCCACTCATTTCCTACGATGTTCACTGAACTATTTACTATTTTTCCTTTGTCCACTTGTATATATATCTCGTTTAGAATGTAAATATGTGATTTTCTACGGTGAATGAAAAAGGTTGACACCATGGGTACCTAAAGGTATGCTGCGGATACTTGAATAGGTCTTCTTAACCTTTAGATGGTATACACGGTGGGCCTGCTCCCTGGCACAGGCTGTGATAATTCCTAGCGCAGTGAGAACTCATAAGACCATCCATTTTGCTTAGGATGTACAGCTTAAGCCCTGCGCCAGATGAAATTCCGTTGGCGATATGCGATACACGAACTGATTTAAGTCGGAAACATCTGTTCCAGGCCCTCCAATAAAGACACAGCTCAGCCAATTATACCCATGGCAAAGGTGCCATTCCACTGGTTATGGCGCTCCTACCTGCATGACTGTCAGTTCTGGAACTACTTAGCGCACTTGACCTAGCCTATTATCGGATATCTAATACAAGAATATTATCAAGAGAGCAGGGATTCTTATTATACCCCCAGTTATTCCTAAGCCCGGCTCCGTGGCCTGCTGTATATCCGTCACTAAAACTGGTACTTAACTCCCGGGTCTGTCCGAGGTACCTAGTAGTAGACGCGGCGACTATCCGTCGTGCGCACGCCGTATCCTCTATCAGTGTTGTTGAGGTCAGATTCTCGTTATGGAGCACCGATATCCTCACTAATAAGGCAGTGGACGTTTGCAAGGAGTGGAGTATTCCGATTCTTGCATATGCCTCGTTGGGGTATGGTTTCTTGGCTGATCATGTTCTACTAAGCTGAAGGATATTCGTCATATCTTTGATCGGTTTCAGCCACCGGCGAGTTTCCATTTTTTTGACATGGAAAGCAACACGCTGGCGAATATCAAGTTTTGCTGACGAGATCGGGGCGGAATTTCCCCAAGAATCTCAATCTTATTGATAAGCTCAGAATGATCGGCAAGTGTCGAGGTGCCACACCTGCGCAGTTGGATCTGGCGTGGATCCGAGCACCTTCGAGTACTGGTGGTTGTGGTGCGATTATTCCTATACCTGGGGCAGCGGCTGCTCAATGTGTTGAGGAGAATTATAAGGATACTCATCATGCAGTTGGCGCACGATTTTCGCTTCTTTAATCCGTTTCGTGACCGATTATTGGCCCGTAGGAAGACCGATTTATCCCGTTACACTGAATTGGGCTTACTATCCAAAACTTGTCTATAAATATTACAACTTATCTCAGTCCACGCAATAGCGGATACTGCAGTTGACGTTTGCTAGAAATTATCGAGTTTCTTGAGGCCTCATAGTAGCATTCTCAAAACCTCAACCATATATCAGAGAGATGCTCTGGCTTATATATTTACTCCCCAGGGCCACCACCTTGCCTATGTAATTGCCCTCGCCAAGTAAAAGTAAGATACGATCGTGAACCCCGTGTGAACATTGCCCATGATATACGACCTGTAGGATTGGACAACAGTCGAGTTGCAGTGTATCCCCTTGACGAGTAACCCTAGATCAAATTAACAAAGATTACTTTACTGAATATAGCAACTACTAGTAATATACTAGATCAAACCAAGCATCTTTCACTCGATATGGTTTCATGCTGCTTCTTTTATATATTATTTGATCAAGGGCTACTATAAAGTCACGTGATGCTCTATATAGGAGGCGCTTCTTGGAAGGTGAATATTCCCTTGAATTATTGCACACCGACATACCAAGTGCGAATTTATACTTAGTACTCTATTTTCTGCTGACAGCGTTAGTCGACCTCTCATTTCGATGGCTGCCCTCATTAGAAGAGTGAATCTTTGCGTCGTTGCACAGCGATCTGGTATCACCTAGAGGGTGAAGTGAGATAAATGCAGAGGTTCATGGTGGGACGCTGAAAGATAGCTTCAGATTGGACTGTATGACATGCTAGGTAACTACTCTGGTCAGGAACAGCATCCAGAATATGTCGAGGCAGATAAGAGGACTATACAAAGGAGTTAATTATGAAGCAGCTCTTTGGGGATAATATGGCAATTGCTTCAATCCCGTATATGAATGACTATATACCCTGAATGAATTCAAAGAATGGAAATCCCACAGCATCGTATACGAGCACTGTCCACATATGCCTTGCGATTCCACCAACAGCGGACCAGCTCCTCGACAAAAATACGATCTGCTGCACTCCAGACGTCAAGACCCATCTCAGCCATATCTTCTGTGGTGATCTTGATCGGTTCGTCATCGCTATGTGGAGAGCTGGAAGCCTCCTCTTGAAGTAATCGAGACCTATCATCTTCTTGAGTAGATTGGCGGCCTATGGTGACAGGGGGTTCAAGGTCATCGCCCGGATCGTCTTCGTAAGGAATATGATCATCATCATTAGGCTCCACTTCTTCGTCCGGTGCATTCTGACTGTCGTGTCGAGCGATTGCATCGGATAGGGTGACGAAGATCTGTGTAGTCATACGACGGAAGTATGCCACAATGGCAATTTCAGGAGGTTCGTAAGAGGTATCTGATGGTTGCAAGCTACTACGGCCGACAGATCCTGAAGGCGGGCTAGTTGGATGTTCCACACTCGCTAAAAGCTGGGTATCTTGCTGGATCTGATGTTCTTCCTCCTCCTCTTCTGATAACCCATCACGCTTCTCACCAGCCGATGCCCACCAGATAAAGGAGGTGTACGCTAGCCGGGTCCAAGAGATGGGCTCAACGATGGGACTGGATGAATATGTTGACGCAGCATCAGAATCGTCCTCCTCTCCAGGTTGGCCATCGTCGCTCGAGGCAACTTGACGCAAGCCCTTGCGAAGCGTGGCATAGCGGCGCGCATCCCGCTGGGTTGCCTTTAAATGAACAGCTTGAGGTGTGTTGTGCTTCGCGGTTGATGTCGGCAATATGGATATCTTTGGAAACACTTTCTCGGCTGCATCCTTAGAATAAGGTGGAGGTAACGAAACAAGTACATCGAAGAGCTCAGATTTCATGGTTAGCACGCTATCTGTGCTACAGGCAATCCAAGAAGCATCTGGCTGGGCGTTGGCTGGGACACCTGCCAAAGAAGAAAGATACGGGATATCATGAATGCCAACGTTGAATAGCGGCCGCGGTCGCAGACTAGGTATACCGGTCGGCGGGAGCAAAGGAACAAGTGAATTAGGTAAGGAAGCTAGCAGAGACAGATCGTATACTACTATATGTCAGCAGAGATGTTAAAAGATAGTAGGATAGGGCTTACCGTAGTTACAAGGCATATAAACGGGCGCCTCGGCCATGAAAAGTATTTTCTTGCGGAGTAATGTTGCTCTATACAATGGGTATATGAGGGGACCAAAACAATCAAGGAATTCAGGAAGGGATGAAGCTGGATGAAATGGCGTCAGGGCCGGCCTGGGCGTTTCCAGCACAATAGCGTCACTAAATGCGCGGTTTCTAAGTGAGTGATCCGGTCGCTCTCCATGCGCCCTCAAGCGAAGGCTGAGAGGAGATTCCAAAGGAGAATCTGGAGGCACGCCGGACAAGTCGCTTTCGCGGATCTCATAAGTTTCCCAGTACTTCAATAGCGGTTCTGTATGAGACATGTCTAGGGCATAGATTCTGCAAGTCAAACAGGTCAGAACAGACGTGAAACGCCGCAGGCAATATAGAAGGGGTTAGCTTACTGCGCCAATTCCCTGAGTTTCGGGGCATGTCGCCAGCTTTTACCTAGCCTTCCAGAGCTCAAGGGTACTAGGACACCAACAGAAAACATCTTCGCATTTCGCTCAGCTTCTTCTGCGGGCTGGTTGATAAAAGCGCTGATACCAGCATATTGTTCGTGTACGAAATACCTAGAACGACTATGAACATGATGATATCGTGAGCGGCATTTTCAAACGTACACTAGGTCTTCTGAAACATTGTGTAGACCAGAGGGTAGTGATTTGTATTCGACAATTCCTTCAACCTCAGCTAGCATTCGATTGAGTTAGCTAAGTTCAAGCGGAGAGAGCAACATGGTCGCGAGATTTAAGTATCACTCACCTCCAGGGACTGTACGCTTCCAGGATACCACATAACTACATAGTTCTCTGCGGTCAACACGATGTTGTTAGAATGACCATATCGAACTTACCCAGCCTTGATATCGAAGCGGATCACGAATAAGGCGGCAATGGGAGGCGGCGATTCCCAGACAGGCGTGCGGGGTACATCGACCCCTAAAGGCTTTCTTCTAAAAGGACCGGGTGCCATTGTAGGAACGCGCATAAAAGAAGGAGCTTTCTGACTCCATCAGATGGTCAGAATAATTGTAATCACTGGTGTGGTTGCATTGAGGAGGATGGGGACCTTGGATCCGACCGACCATCGGACGTTGACGATTGCACACAGAGTTGCGGAGATCGAATGGAGCTGTCGCCGCCTGAGGCAGGTATCTAGCCAGGCCTGGTTAGTCGGGTGGCATGCCTTCGTGGTATCTATACTGTACAGCTGATT